GCCCAGGTTAGGAGGGTTAATGAAATGGAAGCATAGAACCCCTAGGCCTGCCAAAGTTTATGATGCCTTAAACAATAACATTGTTTTAGATTTTTAAAGGGTGTTCAAAAACATAAGTATTACACATGACCTCATAAACCTCTTATACTCCCAAATCCCACACCCAAAACTTAAAAACTGATTCTCTGTGTCCAGGTATCTCAGAAGTCTCCTCACTCTCCCACAGAAATGCTCCACTTTTTCTATTACCGCACCTTCGTCAGCATTCTGTCCTCTTACATGTAGCCGCCCTAATCCTACCGTGGCCCAGCTACGGTCAGAAAACAGCAAGCCAGGCTGTTATTTCCCTCTCTGACCATCCACTGCACGTCAGTGTAACTCCCAGAGGTCAGGGAAGGGGGGACCGCATGGAACCAGGATCTCCAGACCCCGCCAACTCTGCCAGTGGCAGTGGAGATGCAGTTCTGTGTTTTTTCCTGATCCTAACTCTCCCAACAGACGCCTAGTGTTGCCATGGTGAGGAAAACAGAGGTCAGAGGTCATCAAAGTTGCCGCCTTTATTACTGACAGGCTCTAACCCTCTCGTGATCTGATGAGTTCAGCTGGGCCAAGGCTTGCTATGAGAAGCCTTTTGCTGAGCAGAAGCAGGCTCGGACAACCTACACCAAGACAAATGGGTGGTTGGATTTTATTAATACTCAAGTACTCAAATACTCAAGTACTGAGCCCTAACTGTTCACTGTGATTTTAAGTACTGAAGTTAATGAATAAGAGAGATAATGTCCCTATTCAAACTTAGACTCTACGCGAGTGGAAAGAAGGAAGGAAACCGAAAAACAGATGAATGTCAGACGGCAAAAAGATGTACTCAGAAGGGTAAAACAGGATGACGTGATGGGAACTGGGGAGCTAATTTACACTTGATGAACCCTTCTAAGTTGCTAACACGTAGCCCAAGACTGAAAAAGGAACCTGGGGCGGGGCCAGCAGATGGCGTGGTCGTCAAGGCGCTGGACTTCCACGGCCAGCCATGTTCTAGTTCCAGAACTGAAGGTTTGCTTTCTTACTTTTTCCTTCTCTCTCCCTCTGTCTCTGTCTCTGTCTCTGTCTCTCTCTGGTGAGTGTGTGTGCCCTTTAGCAAGTTTAAAAATAATAATAACAAATATGATGAATAAAATTAAATAAATAATTATTTAGGAGGGAAACAAAGAATAAAAAGGAAGATGGGGGCCAGCCAGAAGCATGGTGGTTGGAGTGGCTGGATCCCACATGGCTGACTATGCAGTCTGAGTCCTGAACTCCATGACTTGAGACACATGTATGTATGCATACGTGCAGAAAATCCCAAGAGGTAGAGAATGAAAGAGAAAGGTGGCACCAGCAGATGGCATAATGGTTATGACACTGGACTCTCACGTAGTTGACCACGGTTCGAGACCCAGACCCGGTGGCTTAAAACTCAGCCAGGCATGTGTGCATGCGTGCCCAAGATCCCGAGAGGAGAATGGAGGAGAAGGGATTGCGACCTGGCCATCCCCCTGGTGGGTAATTTCCTGCTTTCCATCTCTCTGTCTCTCCAGTGAGTGCACATGCCCTAAGCAAAAATCTCTCTCAAAAAAAAAAGAATGGAAGAGAAAGATTATAGGATTTTATTGCAGGGTGGCCATCCCCCTGAGGGGAAGGAGTGATTTCTCTCTCTCTCTCTTTCTCTCTCTCTCTCTCTCTCTCTCACACACACACACACACACACACACATGCCCTATAGCAAACAAACAAAAAAGGAAGACCGAGTTCACTGTGATGACGGGGTTAAAGCCAGTCCGCAGAGGGAACAGCTAATGCAAATGCCCCAAAGCAGAGGCCATTGGAAAATGTAAGGAACAGAAATCAGACCCGTGTAGTGAAAGTGCGCCAGAAAGGGGGGAGGAGAGCGATGTGAGTGACACGCAGGAAGGCAAGCAGGGCCCAACTCCCACGAGAGTTTGCAAACCAGAATAAAATGTCAAGCGTTGGTCTCCCGGCATGGGAAGACATAGACTTCCCATAGGATTTTTAAGAGGGACCGGTGTGATTCAGTTTGCGCTTTACAAATCTGAGTCTCATTATCCTTGTTATCACATGGACAGGAGCCCTTACTTTTTAAAAGTCAAATAGTAATTCTCTGTATGACACAAATGAACCTGGGGGAACTTATGCTTAGATCTTAGAAATAAGACAGGCACAGAACAAAACTCAAACTTGTAGATGCCAGGGGTAGAATGGTGGTTGCCAGGGATGGGGGTGGGGCGGGGGGTGGAGAGGACAGTAAATGGGGAAATGTTGGTCAGAAGACACAACAGTCTTGGGGCCAGAGGGTGGTGACACCGCAGTCAAACACAATGCTCTGCAGAACTGATCCACAGGAGCAAGTTCCAGGTTTGCATCCGGAGACTTCCCTGACTGTTCCAGATATTATGGAAGCCTAGGATTTGGGGCTGGCTAAAACTGGGAGGGGGCACAGCATCCAGGCCCTGCTGTCTCTCTCCTGCACTCTACATCTCTCTTGCTCATAGAAAACAATAATATATAAACTTGTTAAAAAGCAGGTGCAGCGTTTCAGTCACACAGGAAGAGAAAGTTCTCGAGGTCTACCGTGCAGCATGGTGACTGTAGTGACTAATCATCTATTGTATACTTGGAAAATGCTGAGTATGTTTTAAAAGATCTTGTCACAAAAAATGAAAAGAATGGAGAGTGATGGAGGTGTTAATTATCTTGACATTCCACTATGTAGTCATATATCAAAACATCCCATGGTACACCATACGTATACGTAATTTGTCATTTGTTAATCTGAAAACTCTAGTTCTGGTTACTGAAAAGACCAGTTATGAGACGGCTCCAGCATCCAGACAAGCAGGAGGATACTGCAGATGGGGATATACAGACGAATGACAGGATGCGTAGAACCTACATATTTTTTGGATTTGGGATGTAGAAAAACAAAGTTAAACATAACATCCAGATTTGGAACATGGACGATGAGGGTATGTGCTACCATTTCTTGAGATGAAGAAGAAGGGAGATTTGAAGGACAAAATAAGATTTTTATTTAAACCTCTTTTAGTTTGAAATACCTTTATTAGATATCCATTTGGGTAAACAATTGGATATAGGAATCTGGAATTCCAGAGGACAGAAAGGGTTATAACCAAAGATTTGTGAGTTATTAGCGTATAGGGGATAATGCAACTCTATGGAACCAGAGAGTGTTTGCAAAAATGCAGGTGGGCCAGCCAGTAGTGTGGTAGTTACACAGCTGGGGCTTAAATGACCTACTACACATTTCCAGTCTCAGACTCAGTGCCTTGAAAAACACACTAGGGGCACGTGTGTGCATGCCCAGTATCTAAAAGGAGGGAGAAATGGAAAAGAAGGGGTTACAGTGTGGCCATCACCCATGGGGGAGCTTTTTCACTTTTCCTATCTCTCTCCCTCTCTCTCTCTGGTGGGTGCACATGCCCACTGGCAAAATTAAAGACAAAGAGATAAACAAAAGATAAATAATAAGGCATAGTCTTGGAATGTTCCAACATTTAAAGACAAGACAGAGAATGGGAACCAACAAAAGAAACTAAAAAAGAAAAGCTATTGAGGTAGAGAGGAAACTAAAAGAACGTGGTGTCATAGAAGGCAAGAAAAGGAAATGATTCTAGGAGGAGAGAGGATCAACAGTGCTAGATGTTGTGTACAGGACCAATTAGGACAAGAAGTGACCATCAGATTTTAGTGTTGACCTTGACGAGAGTCACTGCAGTTGTGTGTTTGGGGCAGAACACTGGTCAGTGTAGCTGAGGCGGTGATCAGAATCAACTCAAAACAAACTTCAAGCCGTTTTCTGTAAAAGCTGAACAGTAATTAGAGCAGAATTTGAGGTGAAAGGATAGGTTCGTAAAAGGGATATATGAGATAGAGAAGAAGAAACTGACAATGCAGGGAGCTGGCACACTCCTAAAACTGTCTCGCAGTCCATATTTGGATCCTAATCCTGACTCCAGCCCTCACAGTCTTCCCATTCATAAGGACCCAATAAAAAGAAAGCTTTCTTCCCAAGTTCTAGAGCACGGGCATCTCTCCCAGGATGGGTGCACCTTTCAGGAAAGAAGTGGCTCCAAATAGGTAAGTGCTCCAAGAATAAGCCAAAGAAGGGTCACAGCGTCAGAAGGTAGGCCATATGAATGCAACCGCTTCTGACCTTCATCTACACCCACTAGAAGCTACCCATTCCCGCACCCTTCATGCAAAGACGCCCAGAACGCTACCCCAGTAGGTAACTGTACCTTCTACATCAGCTTTATTTGAATGAGGAGCCCGACTGTCAAGGAATCTTGAGTTCCCCCTAGGGGTCAGACAATGATATATCATCTTATACTATTGCCATTCATTCACTTAAATATTCTTTGGGAGCTCAATAAATGCCACTTGCTGTGTAATGGGCTGGGAATACAACCGTGAACAAGAGAAACAGCAACTCTCTGAGCAGCCTTTGCATCTTTCACTCTACTGGTGAAACAACCTAGAAAAATGAGGAAAATTGCTATTTAGTACAATTGAGATAAACTGCAGGTGTTTTAAGAGTTACAATTGGTGAAAAAAAAAAAAAAAAAACTAAACTTGAGGATTCCAAAAAGATCCACAAAAATAATTTATGCTTGTATAGAATTAGACAGTTTACAAAGAACTTTTACATTAAACTGAAGAACAAGCCCAAGTGATAAATACCATACCCCAATTTTTCAGATGAAGGAACTAAGTTCCACACAGGCTAAGTGAAAAGTGAAATATCTCAGACTAGCCAGGTGGTGTGGTACATATATACTGGACTGCAGTGCTGGAAGCCACATGCCAATTGCAGGTTTGGATCCCCAGGTCACCCTGAAAACATACAAGGCAGGCACAAGGGCACCCAAGATCTTGAGAAGCTAGAAAGCTGGGGAAGGAGGGTCATGGCATGCCGAAAACCTGTCGCATATGCCTCTTTCTCTCTCTCTCTGATGCATGCACATGTGCTCTTTTCAGTTAAATGAATAAATGTCTCCTAGTTTCTGAACATGTATCTCTCTCTGTCTCCTCATTGGCTCTCTCTAGATGGCAAGAAACAGAACCCTAAACCTGACTTGATGAATATAACTGAAAAGACCAGGAGTAACATTAACCATACATTTTCCCCTTCCTCCCTGCATTGCCATACAGTCTAACCAGGCACATGGCCACCCAGCTAGACTTCATTATTGAGGCTGCCTCCCTATATTGAGGCATTGATCTACAACTATATCCTGATGATCCAACATCAGAAGAAATAAGGTGGGTACCTTCTGAGTCTTGCCTTTAAAAGCTTTTCTTCTGGAAGACTTTTGCTTCTGGCCATGAAGGATTAACTGCTGCGGAAAGTGTCCTCTCTTCATAAACAATCAGAAACAGTTTTTACAAGAGGTTGGACGA